TTAAATGTTGATGAATCAGAACATCGTGCATCCTCTTGTAGTCAAGGTATATATTAAAAAAAAAACAAACAACCAGAAAATGTATCAAAACTAGTTTCTTCACTTAGATCTGTGTTGTCATGGTGGTCTTATTCCTTTGAAGTGTGTATCCTTAAAGCCACATCAGAATCTTTGTTCTCAAATTTCAGAAATGATAACTGATGGATTTCAAAAAAAGCTTCGAAATAATGAAAATCTTGCATAATATGCAACATAACAGGAAGAATAAGTGTCAAAATGAAGTATAAGAACAATGTGAAAACTGTAGAGTACAGTTTATGTTACTAGTATATTAGCATGGTTTATTTTATCAATAGTCTTATGGCATTGAATGCTTTTTAATGCAAATCTCAACCATGAATCAACTCATTCTCTGGGAATCTCCATTTTCAGTTTAAAAGGAAAAAAAGGAAAAGCTAAAGCTAGTAGCACTGGAACTCTGTGAAAAGCTGTCTGAGAATAGTCTGAAATCTCAGAGTTCACAGAAGAAATTAAGAGAACCTCAAATACATTACTTTGTAAATATTGATGTTCAAGATGTCTGGGTTGTTTTGTTTGTGGGTTTTTCCTATTCTGAAAGATTAAGATTTGGCAAGATGCAAAGTATTTTAGAAGAATACTGACTTTTGAAAGGACTTTTGTATTTCCCAGAGGAAGAAGCAAACAGTTGAAATCTTCTCGGCAAGAAAGTTTTCTTTAGAGCACATTCAATCACATTAAAGGATAATTGCTGCTTCTTGCTAATAACTATGAATCACTTGGAGGAGCATCACTGCCTCTGGAATACACAGGCACTTCTGAAAATATTTGAACTCCAACACAGGGAGGACTTGTACCTCTAGGCACAGTCTTTTGCTTTTGCCATTAAACACTGAGGTCCTGCCTCTTCCTTCAGAGTCTGTGCAATATTACTGCATTTTATAAAACAGAGTTCTCCAAAGTATGTGAAGTACCTTTCAGACAAGACAATGTTTTTTCCCAAGTGAAGTTCAGGTGCTGAAAGCATGCAGTATAATTCTGCTTTGGGCTTCACACTTGGTAGAATGCTGCAATACAACTGCATCAGGTATTCTCAGTCATGCCTCTAAAATTTTATTTTCAAGGACTGGCTACGTAGGTAGAGACTGTCCAAAGTTTACATTACCTTTAAGTTATTGATAGTGTCAAGGCAATTTCACTGCAGCCAAGAGAAACTTCAGGCTGTCCTACTTCCATTGTTTACCTCACAGTGACTGTAACAAGTCACAGATGAAATTACCATGCTGGAGAGATACCTTGCACAGTGCAGTGGCAACCCACACTTCTCTCTTTGAGGCCTGAAAACCCTAATAATATTTTGTTTCATCTAACTTTATTTTATATGCAGAACTGTTCTTGCTCCATATACATTGATAACATGAAAATAGCTGTTAAACTAAATACACGAAATTTTCCTTTATCAGTCAGGTAAATCAAACAGGAGAATTTTGATGTTCCTAAAAGTGTAATCCTTTTAATGAATTGGTTTGTGTTTCAGACATCATTCTGGCATTAATGCACCCTAATAGCATATTCGAGGCTCTGAAGACTCCTTTTTCTCTCCTTTTTTTCTCTTTTATTTTTCTCTTGTCTGCTTTCATAAAATAACAAGCTTACTGTATTTGTTTTTAAATGGTATTTACTCCAGATAATTCACCAATTTATAGAAGACAGCTTAAAAAATAAGATACACAAAAGATAGGGCTTTGTGATACAGAAGAACATTTCCATATAAAAATTTTTCTTTCCCTCTTCACAATATTTAAATGAGTTTTATAAAAGTACATTTACACATTTTACTACAGCGGCATTACAGAGTATATAATAAGACTTAATAAGCACTATCATGATATTTTCAGTTTCTTATCGTATACAGCAGCCATTTTATATCATAGTCCTTATGTTGGGAAGCTTGCTTGGAGACTGTTAGTCTCCTCCCAGTCTCCAGAAAATAGACAAACACCTCCTGTGTCACAGCAGTATTCCTTTTCCTCAGTCACTGGAATATACTCGTGTTCCCTTCTCTTGCTCTCCTGCCAGCCTTATGGCTCTGGCTAAGAGTTTCAACAGAGAGCTTCAACCCTGTTTCAGAGCACACTCTGGCCAGATGGTGAGGGTGCTCTCCCTGTCTCCACCAATACAGACATGAGTGGTGGCAGCATCACCAGCAGAATTTTGCTCTTTCATGTCCCAATGTTTGGCAACACGGCACTCAGGAACCCAAGGGAAAAGTAACATCTAGTCAAAGTCAGGGCCTAAGTTCCAGAGAGGGCACAAATTCAAACACATCAAATGTGCTTTGCGTACCAAAAAAGGCCCTTGCTCACTAACAAGACTCTTCAGAAGTTACTGGCTTTCACACACACTGTCTCAGGAGGCTTGGATCTTCCCTCTGGCATTTATAACTTAGATTGCATTGATTTATTTTAAAACTGTATCTTGTGACTCAAATGGGTGAACATGTTTTACATGCTTTCAATGATGAAAACTCCTTATTTGTTTTTCATCAATGTTCTCCTTTTTTATAATTTACAAAAAATACCAATAGCAATAACATATGTGTTTTATTAAACAAGCAACATACCCTTTTTATGACATTTCTGAGCCTCACCTAACCTATGGAAATTCTTTTTGTATCTAAAGAATTTTGGCTTGGGGGTTCCAGAGCTTCATAGCACACATACTGAGAGTGGTATTCACAGATGCTGAATTTGGGAAAGAGTTCCTTTCATCAGACAGATACTGATCTAGTGAGGTGGCAATGACTAAAACATGGCTTCTTCCAGTTAACTTAATTCTGGACAAACTTCCACAGTGTCTGACTTAATAGACTGCAAATCATACAAGTCCAGCAAGATGCACCACAGTTCTTACTTTCACAAGCTATACAGAAAAGAAGAAAGAAGTACACTTATCACATCTTTCACCTGTAAAAATAAACAGTGAAGAAAATAGTCCAGATCAATCTCTGCAATTTCGTTATAACTGGGAGCAAATACTTGCACCTCAGCTGCCTATTAGCTCATGTGAGATAGAAAGAGGAGGAAAGAACCCTGTCTTTTCTGCCAAACCACCAGTGAAGGAGGAATGAAACATAATCTATTCGTGGAAGGAGGAGACAGAGGTATTCCCTATCATCCTCATATAAGTACTGAAGAAATTCAACAGTTTCACACAGTCGGCCTTGCAAATAGCATCTATTTCATTCCTGGTAGTACTAAAATTTCAAAATTTTTATTTCTAAAAAAGTAATTACTTAATAAAATCAGTTAACTTTGAACTATTACTTTTCATTTATTTTTGGGGATTTAGCTACTCAATGTCAAATATCACGATTTAGTGTAGTTTTATATAGGCGCAAATTCACAGAGCATAGATCTCACGCAAATATGTTGAAAATATGTTTCATTTTGCTCACAATACAATCAGAACTGAAGGTATATTTAGATTGTGTTTAATGCCTTGCCAAGCTAGATACCTGGCTACACATGAGCTTTCCCTATTATTCATCTGAAATCACTGTAGAAAAGCCCAGTCAAGAGAATTTATGGGCTACTTCAGGTGGAAATTTGGAAAAAAAGCATGTGTGGTATATTCATTAATCAATGAGAGTCATTTTTACAATCTTGTTTTGTGCCAGATACTGAAATTAGATCTGTTAGGGGGAAATCTTCCAATTCCTAAGGAGCCCTACTGAAATTGCTTAAGTTCAGCCAACAGATTTCACTTGTAACCTTTCATCCCACAACTTCTGGAAAGTCACAACTGTCATCAGAAATAACTTGCATTTGTGAAATTCCATGTTACTGAATGCTTCTCACTAAGTAAAGTCAGAGACATACATGTATTTAAATAGATCTAAAATGTAAATTTCATTTGTGCCTTCAAGTCAGTCTGAACAGGCATTTTTCAATCTGATTTGAATCTTATACTTGCAAAAGAGTGAGTATAAGGTATTATATGGTGTAGTAACGCAAACAGAAAGTATAATAGGATGGAGTCCTGCAGAGAATTATTAAAATGCCATGAATTTAATGAAAACCCTTTTTTAAAAGCTTGTGAAGAATTAATTTCTTTTCATCTATGTGGCCACAAGTCAATAATAGGAATTATTAAGTCAGTAACTTTGTAGATAATTCAAAATAAGTACAGATAGATTTACTACCAAAATTATTTTAAAAATTAATTAGGCAAAAGCAATATACATCATGTTGATTTTAGCTGATGACTGTGGTCTAAATATACTCACAGTATATAGAACTCACAGTACCAGTTATTAAAGACTGAAACTGGTGAGATCTGCACTACAAAGAAAACACATACTTAACTGTAAATATAAATTTGTTCTATATAATATAAATTTGTTCTATATAATATAAATTTGTTTCTCTATAAAGAAACCTGCTAAGTGTGCAGCAATAACTTCAAACTTCACTGTTTTGCTCGATATAATCTAACTTGAAATTCTTCAATAACATGGAGTTTTCTCGACCCTCAAATTAATTAGCTTGATCTCTACTTTTATTTTTAATCTTTCCTAAACCTTCTGGTAGCAGCAAATTGCTTGTGGAGAGCACAGAATTGAATAAAACAGCTGGACTAAACTAACATGTTGGAGGAAGGAAAAAAAGCTTCGCAATTTATTAATGTATTCAAACGACTGTTACAAAGTTTACAATTTAATTATTGGAAGATTATAGAACTGCTTCACTGCTTCTGTACTCTGTTAAATAAACTGTACGTGCAAGGAGTAATAAATGAAATTGTTAATTTCAGTGCATCCTTAGGGAATAGTAAGAGGGGGAGTTTACATTATTTAGAGCTCCAAATGGATTTGAGTTTATATACAGTAATAAATCTTAACTACATTGTTAATTAACCCTGCCTCATGCCCCTTTTTGCCTTAGGAGTTCAAAGACACAGTGTCTGTTAGGATAACTCACCATCCATGTGCTTAAAGATGCTTAGGACTGGGAGAATTTGTCGATAATAGGGCACCAAGGCCTCCCCCACCATTTCAGCTGACACCACCAGGTGCTGGATGACTTTTAGTGTGGTGCAGAGGACCTGTCGGTTACGAAGGTTCAGGGCATCTGTGACGCAAAAAGAACAGACAGAAAGCAGAATTAATTTCTAAAATGTAAAGGGAGGGGGAGGAGTTCTGTAATGGACAAATTTAATTAAACTATACTCTGTTGGGAATTGTAAGTGGGCCTTTATTAGCCCAGCTTAGAAAGATCCCAAAGATGGATTGCAGTCCTGATGTTATAAAACACTGCCTTGTCTGATTGTTATTTGTTCCCACAATTTGTGCTGACTCTTCAGTAACCCAAAGAATGCAGCTCATTATTCCCTCACACTGCCTGTATAATACTGGCGTGGCCCAAACAAATGAAAAATAAATGTTCAGTAAGTACCACTTGGGGCCAATGGAACTATACAACTGCAAGACAACCTGCAAAGGTTGACAACAGATGCATTCTAGTGCAACAATTGGTGTTTGTATGTTTGCACTCATTTATTTAATGATAATTTTATTCATTCAACTGACAATTCCTACTATTCTGAGAATCAGTACAATGAAGCAAATGTTTATAGAAAAAACCACCGACAAACAAACCTTGTAGGCTTTTTCAAAAGAAAAACATTATAGGGGGAAAAGAAAGGTTTTGTCTAGCCTACTTAGATGCTTCTCTTAGCTTTCAGTGTCATGCTTCTAATCTTATGACACTAAGACATTTCATAAAAACCTCTTGTTTCTTCTCTTTTAATTTTACTAAAAGCAGGTACTTTGCATTCTCTCTTGTAATTAAAAACGAGTCATGCTTGAAATACATATATTTTTCTCCCTTGCAAAATCCATCTATTTATAAAAGCATTTCTGAAATTATGCAGATGGATAAATTTGTCAGCAATTGTGAGATTTGGTATGGTCTTACATATTGGTCTAATACTCCAGTGTTCTACCCAGTTACATAGAATCGTACATCATTGCACTGGGACAGAACTGAAAAAGATAAGCTCAAATTTATTACTATGTTTTATAAACACAGACTATAAATATGTGATTTGAGACACCATAACAAAGTATAAGCATTTAGAAAAAAAATTGTAGCAAAGAATACAACAAAATTTGAAGAGGAGTTATTAGTAATTTGAAGAACTGCCTCTTCAAATAGAAGTATTAGGATCAAAAATATCTCTACTCATTGCAGAGGTGTTGGAGACAGATGATCATTAAAGGCCTCTTGCAACCCAAACCATTCTATGATTCTGCAATTCTATGATTCAGTATTTCCTATGCTGAGTTTTATCAGTGCACAGGACTGCCATTTCACAGGGAATGAAGTAGTATTTTCACAAAGGAGCAACGTCAAAGGAGCAATCTCTTTAAGCAAATGCATTGTACCCCACCTGCTTCTGCTGCTTATCACATGCCTGCTGAGTGTTAAAAATCAGAACTAGATCTCCAAACCAAGGGCAGGGCAGATTGGTTGTGTCAATGGACAGAAAATTCCCAAAAACCAACTAGTAAATAATCTTCCTTCATGCCTCTTGGCATGCTTGTGAACAACATACTGAACCTACTGTTAGAAAAGAGAAAGCCCAAGGTATAAAGGTACTATTACACATATCCAAGTTAAAAGAGTACTCCTTTGACTTCCATATTGTTTATTTTCTACAATAGTCCCTACTGTAGTCACCAGGCTGCACTTAATTTCACATTGTCTCTGAGCATAATACTGTGTGGACAGGAAGCCCAACAATGCAGCATGCTCACATTAAGTTCCAGCAAAGAGGCTGGCTATTCGAAATTATGCTTTTGTGGATAGATGCTCTAAGGTTTCTTCAGCAAACAGAGACACCCAGATACAATTTTAAAGATTGGTTCCAAGTCTTAGGTAGGAAAAGACTCTGTTAGAGAGAAACAGGCATTATTCTTTTTCATGGAACAGTGGTTGGAAGAGCAAGTTTTGGGGTTCCATCGTATAGATTTATTCACTACTAACTTGTCATACACATAAATAATAGCTAACTGAACTAATAGAGAAATTATCACTAACACTGGCAATTTTCAGTACAATAGTTATGTCATGCATACAAGCATGAAAGAATATTTATATTCAATTATATGAATTATTACAAATTAGTAAAATTAATTATTCATACAGACAAAATTAATTAAGGGATATAAAAATTAATCATTGACAGAAATCACTGTCTCTTAATTTTTAAGAAATTGTACCCACTCCCAGGAATAGTACTTCTGGACTGTAGAAGCTGTCCCAGACTATAAGAAACCTTATTTCTAGGCATTCAGAGTATGTCATGTAACTGGAAATGGCTGTCCAAATACTCCTAGGAAGAACTTTTGGATGAATCCCTTCTGATGCTATAGACTTGTCTCTGTCCAAGTGGAGCAGCAGGTACCTGACCATTTCTCTCTGGATTATGGTGGCTTCATCCTGCTCCCCAGTCTCCAGCTCAGGGGTATACAGGTAATTCATGTAAACTGATGTAAATTTAGTGTTTCTTTTGTTAATTTCCATTAAGAGCAGAAACTTTCCTTAAGATATATGCCACTTGTTTGCTTATCCATTTAGCTAGATGTTAATAGAATAAATCAATAGAAATATAAATAGATAAAAAGCAATAGAAATAATACATTCAAATCTTTTTCTTGAGTAACACTTATTACCTCTCAAAGACCTAGCAGTTATATAAGCTGATAGCATTTATTTTTATGTGGCAGTTTGGAAAATTCTATCTCAGTCCCAGATATTGTCTATAATAGAAGCCACAGCTCTCATCTGATAGACGAGATTGATAGATTCTATAAGCCAGGAAACATGACAGCATTTCTCCCAATACACAGTGGATCTTTTTCATGACACAATATAGTTCCACAGAAGAGATCAAATCAGAACATTCTCTCCCAGATAGCACACTGATATCCTGAGCTTTACAGAATCAAAACACTTTCCCTAAACTTCTGTCTCTTCTCTAACTACTAACTTTAGATTTTGGTCGTCATATTAAAAGTTACATTGATAATGTAATTCTCTTCAACTTCTATTTCAAATACACCTGTGAATCTATGCTTAGAAGTGCACTGACATTTTCCATTTTCTATTTAGGTCTCGCAACCAAACATTAAAACCAATTTATTTTGCATTCATATCTCTCACTCAATTGGTAAATGAGGCAACAGTTTCAGAAAATTCTTTGCCTGAAGCAGAACAAGATACATAGAGTATCCTGTGAGGTAAAAAGTACTCAGGATAAAAATGCTTGACTGTTGTGATCTACTTAATCTTGTTGATCAAGGGCTTATTTTAAATTCACAATCAGGTTTAAAGAAGTCCTAACATGAAGTGTTCTCAAAATGCAATTGACTAAAGTGATACATACTTCTCTTGCAAAATTTTGTCCAAAATCTTCAAAGTGCATAACACTTCACTAGCTGTACTTATATAATAGTATTGTGCTAAACTTACTGAACAGTAATGAAGACTGTTACAAAATACAGCGTTTCAATCAAGAGTGAATAAAAACCAGAATAAGAACCTTGTGTTCTGTACTTTTTAGAAGTCCAGTAAGAACTGATCCAAATAACAATACAGATGTACAAAAATGTCTTTCTGTACAACTGAAAGAGTGATGTGTTACAGTGAAATGATGGGAAGGATAAATAGGGAGTAAGGCATGAAAACCTTATGCCAATTTTGACATCAAAGACCTTTTTTTGTAAAGCCAAAGTCTAAGGCACAGAAAATGCTAAGATCCATAAGTGAAACACTGATGCTTTCAAGAAACATGATATAGCAGACTATGGCAGAGAAAGTCAGTCAGTAGCTTCTTTCAGCTTTAGTTGTGCTTCTAATTGTAGCATTTTACTAGATCAGCTCCTATAAAGCTTGAATCCTATTAACATTTGTGGACCCAGTTTAATTACATAGTAGAAAGAACACTTAAGAGTCCCAAAAACCTGCTCATTGACTATTCCAGTCAAGAGTTTCTATCCATTCCTAGGTGTACATTCCTTCCTCTGAGCTAAAATATTAAAACTGCACTGAGTATCCACCCTCCTGATGAAAACAGGTCTGCTATCACTGAAATGTGATGCCATCTACAGAAAAGTTCTGCAGAATCAAAGTAGTACAGACATCTGTACTGCAAAACTTAACTTAGCATTCTAAATGTTCTCTAGATCCTTGAAGAAGGTGGACAAGAAAAACCTGATAAAACAGTTTTCTTGGACTTTCAAAAGGAATTTAATAAGGTCCTTCACTGAACCTCCATGGTTTCCATAGAAATAAATAATAACATATAGATAGAAACTGTGGGCAACAATAAATGATTGAAGAAGAATAATATCACTAGTAAGGCCTTGCAGGAATCTGTGCTGAATTTCATGTTTTTCACTAGATCCAAAGGTGATTTGGAAGAGACTCGACTCATTATAACAAAGATTTCTGTTGACATCAAGTTATTCCAGATACCAAAGACAAGAACTGACTCTGAAAAACTCTATAGAACAACTGGGTGATAAAATTGCAGATGAAATTCATTACTAATAAATGCTAAATATAATACATTTATAAATTCAGGAAAGAATAGCTCTAACTCCAACTTTAAAAGTCAGAAATGTTAATTACAGATTTCACTTTCCAAACATGAATAAGATTTATTTTATTGAATAAGGAATACAGTTTCTCCTTACAGAGAATAAAGAGGAGTAAGAAAGGAGCTACTTCCTAAAGCAGTTGAAAACACCTGAAAAGACCAGTTTTGAGCAGAAGAATGTAACATAAACCTAACTGCAACTAATTGCACTGGTTGATGAAAACTGCAAGGGAAATAAATGCTTTAGTATTTGATACCAGAACAACTTTAAAAAATCAGAGGCCTTTGCTTTCTTTAAAAGCATTTTAAGTCTATAAATGCATGATTGTTTGCTTTTATCTTTCAGTCTCTAACCTTAATAACCAGGGCTGGTTCTCAAGAGCAACAGTCAGTCAGAAGGAAAATTACAATCAATCACATTAATGTTTTAACTTTCTGTAGCTGAGAGAAATAACTTACATGATCTGCAGAAAGAAAATTACAACAGACCAGAAAACCATATTTATTTCATAAAAATATTGCAGAACTTTGTGAAAGGAAGTATTTAATAGTCATTAAGTACTCCTAAATACTGTGAATATGTGAGAAGTTTAACTATGCTTAGAAAAACTGCTAGCAACACATTCAACTTTACATATCTAAATGCAAAAGTGACACTGATTTGACATTAAATGTGAATTAACTACACTGTACTCCAAGACAACATTTTTCATGCAAATAGAATGAAAATAAGAAAATGGAAATCAAGTGCAAACAGAATGTGAACAATATGAAAACAGAAATCAGTTTAATTTGGAAATCTATTAAACATTAAAAAGGACTCTGTAGGTGACACTGAGAGAGGAATGCTCCATTCATTTCTCTACATCTGACTCACAGAAATATTTATTACCTTAATGAAACATTTTAAACAAAGTTTAAGGTATCCTTGATTTACTCTATCACAGAAGTTATGTTTGACAGCATGGTCAAAGTCTCAAGAAGAAAAACTTCAGAGTCCCTTAGGATGGAGATTATTCTTTTTGGACTCAGTCAGAAGGACTGGTCTGCTGACTGGAACTGTGTAGAAACAATAATTCCTTCTAAGTTATAAGTGTAAAGATGACAGCTTTTCTAGCTTTTAGGCCTCAGTTCAGATTGTCTACATATCTGTTTTAGGATTCACAGAACAGAAAAGATTCTGGCAAGTCGGTGATCCAAGATACTTAAGTGTCCAATTTCACATTATTATCTTCATTAGCAAAGCTATATGAAGATCTTCCTATTGATCATTTTTAGCCATTCACTCCAATGTCTGTGCATCTGCTCCTTCATATGTGCGAGTGCATTTATAAATTAGACTATTGAAATGATCTGACTTTAAAAGTAAAGCCACTTTAAAAATATTTTTGATTTATTTTAGATTTGGGGGTTTTTTTCCTTTCTTTTTTTGTTTTTACACATCTAGACGAAAGTATCACCAAGTTGCTCCATAAACAATTGCATTAGCAAAAGTCAGAGTGTGGGAGCTGGAACAATTGGTGACTTTATGCATGCAGGGGTTGAAAACTCCTACAACAACATTGCCAGCAAAGCAAATGTGAATGGTAGCATGCTCGCTGCCTCTGAAAGGAGAGGAGGTGCTTCCATACACTCTGCTGCATGTCCCTGATGTTACTCATAGAAACAATAGAAAAGGTGTAGAAACTTCTGGCTCCCCCAGAGTTTATGTTTGCATGTGTGTCTCATGCGAGAGAACATTGGGGAGCCCTAAAATCAGGAATTTGAGAGTTGCAGAAGCCTAACAAAAGCAAGCAAATAGACTTAATGCTTTTCTGATCCCTTTGTTACGGGAAACGTAATATTAAAAGTAATAATTTTTCCCAAAAATGAACATCAAAAAGAATTTTACTCTCCCATAATGACAACAGAAAGGCTAGACAGACTCCTCTGTTTCCTAAAAATAAAGGAACTCTCATGTAACCTACAGACATCTTTGTTTGCAACCCCAGGGGGCTGAGCCTGGGTTCTGCTCAGCTCTCTACCTCCAATGCAAATGTGATGTGGGGCAAAATTAGCCTCCTTCTTCTGCTTTTTTACCTGTCTGAAATATGAAAATAGCAATATGGATCTTGCTGGCAAAGAAGATATCTGGCTGTGTATTGTGCATCAGAACTACCATGATATTGCTGCAAAGTGCTTCGCTATTTGCCATATATCTCAACTTATATATCTTTGCTGAAGTTGAAATAACCCAGACAATGGGCTTACCTACATCTTCTGTGAAAGGGAGCAAAAAGTCCTGTATCTTAAGTAATCCCATTTTCTGTGTTTGTGTTTTACTTATTTTTAGTTGGATTCCTTACAAATTTAACATAAACAGGTAATTGTAATTTGTTTCTTCTTAGTTTTATGTCATGCAATGAATGTATTTAAAAACCATTTTATAATGTTTTTCCAGTGCATGACACAATATATTCTGAATTTATGTTTTGAGAAATCAAAATATATTTTGAACATTTTTCTCTCTGAGAAACTAATGCCTCCAACTTGAGGGATTTTTTCTTCCTCTGAATTTCCAGTAAAAAAGTTCCTCCCAGTGAGACAAACAAACAGAAAAAAAAAAAAAAAAAAAAAGAATTATTTTTCAACTAAAGATCATTATTCTTTATTATTTTAATCATATTTCAGGTATTTTAGAAGAGAATCCAGGCCTGCTAATTTCTATTATCTGTCTTTTTTTAAGTCACTGCTTGTTTAATAAGAAAAAAATTGAAAGGATTTGGGCTTAAAATAACCCACAGATGGATTAAATAATATTATTTTCATTTTTAATGATACAGTGTTCAAATGTGTGATCTTTAAGCAAGGATGGCTGGAAGACAAATTCACCCTTAAATCATTAAAGTATAATACAGAATACTAATATTTAATTTAAATGCTTTTAGAGAACATTTAGGACTTCTCTAACATATTTCTTTGATGACCATGCAGGAGAAAAAGCTGCTTTTAAAAGCATTTTATCTATAGAGTTGTTTTTCTGTCCTTCTTTTAGCCTTTCCCCCTCAATCATATGTATTAACTTGCCTAACAACCAATTGATTCATTCTTTCACAATAGAAATATGGTAGTGGTCTAGAAGAAGACTGGTTAATCAGAAATAACTCACTCAGTGGGACACTTTAGAGACAGGAATCTGTGTAAAACATAGCTGAGTTTATTGTGGATGCTGCTGAGTCACAGAAATGCATGGCTACGACTACACTGCTGTATTACACAGTCATAGCAAATTTTAAAACCCTTATAAGTACACATTTTCAGACTCCTGGAGATGGTGGTGTCTTCTTTTACTATTAGTAAGGCCTTAATTAGGAAGAAGCCTTTACTATTGATAACCCTTAGACTCTTCACATATTAAAGTTGACAGGGAAGCATTTTTAAAATTAAAAAAAAAAAAGCACTGTAGAATAAATTAAAGCGGAAACAACAACTAAATTTAGCTAGCAGATTCTTGAACGTGTTCCAGCACCATAAACTATGACTTAAGACTACATAGCAAACCCCTAAAAATATCCTTACCTAGAAATCTCTAATTCTAAATGCTGTGTAATAGCTAAAGCTTCCAGGTAATTAAGCTAGATTCTCGTCTCAGAAAGACTTTTAAATCCCTACTGAGGAGATGCTGTCATAAACTTGCAGTCTTTTCTGAAGAAATTATTTCACCTTTCAAAAAACATGATACAACTGCAAATATATTTGGGTGATGTTGGAAATACAGTTCTAATGGAATTGTATCATTCCTCTCTTTACGTGTTTCCCCTTTAGAGTGAAAAAAATGGTAACATTGTTTTCATAACCTTTCTCAAGTGTCACAGAGTAAACATTCTGAATATTATATATTCCTTTTGACATTTTCAACACTACAGTAAGATAGAGATAGTGACAGCTATAATCAATCTTTTTAAATTGAGAAAAAATCGAACGAAAAAACCACAATTCTGACCCTTCCCACATTATTATTTCAGTATTATCAGGCTCCAAACTACATTCACTTCCCATTTTACAAAACTGTATTTAAAGCTGAACTGTCTCATGGACAGGAAAAAGAACAGCAATGATACAATTAATGATTAATTATAAAAAACAAGCCAAGTTTAACAAACATGAGCATCTATCCATAAAAGCGTGGCATGCGGATTTAAGAACCACCATAACTAACTAAAGAAGGATGATAGTTGCGAATAATATCTCTTCAAGGTACTGACCTCAAGAAAGGAAAGGACAAAACAATATATCTGAAAGACTAGGTAGTTCAAAAAAATAAATTTTTGTGGTAATACACTTGAAGTTTAGTGGTATTACATTTGTGTTAAAATAAAGTAACTATATAAAACTCTCAAAAGTAGTATTTTTAAAAGTCCATCTGCTGATTTCTCCTGTAATTTTAGATTAACTGGTCTGTACAGTAGAGGATTTACATTGTAAATATAGAAAATCACCTATGGAAATATCACTAAATATTTTCAAAGACCAAGAGAAATGTGTAATAAGAAAAACACTAACCAGAGAGCCTATTATGAAATACCACACATATCAGGTGATTGAAGGCATAAGCTTTCTGGCCTTATATCTTAAAAATTACTCACATTTTCAATAATTTTCATGTGATGTTCAGGTTGTCATGTTTTACAGCTTAATTAGCAACTTGTCAAAAATTTACATCATATAAACACAATTTATGGATTTTTCTCCTACACATTCACTTACTTTTTATTGGAATAATGAGCTGAGGCACAACAGGAAGAATCTTGTTTCCACCATGCTCCAGCAGGTCATGGACTCCTTGGCGAGCAAAAAACTCATATGGAAATTCTGTTTCACAAAGCCCATCAAAGAACAAAGGCAGAAAGTAATGGTAGTCCAGATCTTCAATCTCTACCTGAAAATACAAAATAAATAAACAGATAAATGCGATTTTTCAGTACTAATACAATGTGATCAGGCCAACAGATAATTCATGCCACTTACACAGGCATATTTAGTAAATATTAATTCATTTATCATCACTTCAGTATATCTTGAATTGCAGGTATGGTTTATGACAATATATTAAAATACAGAAATATTAGAACTAAAGAAGAGAATAAAAATTAATATACTTCCACATATTTTCACTTTTTGATAAGTCAGTACCAGATTCTTATATTCTTGCTTACACACTCTACTTTGCAAGTTACCAATAGGAATCAAACCAGTCATTTGAAGAACAATACTCTGCCTCTTTCAAAAAAATTCGTCACTTGGACACTCAAAACAACAAATAAGAGAAACAATCCTGTGAGAAACAAATATCCAGCACAACGCAAACATCAACATTTGTACAGTAACTCCCTAATTTGTTGAATAGTGACCTAGTTTATTTCCTTTTAATTTCAGGAGCAGAACTATAAAGAAATTCCATGGTTTTCCACTACGAAGAAAAGGTACAGAAATTACGTACCTATTTTTAATAGGAGTTTCCTTCCAATCTGAAATTACAAAGTATGCTAATCTTAACAAGCCATGGAGGGATTTTGCACTCTAGTTTTCTTCCCTTTTCCTTCTTTTACCCATTAGGACTCTACTACAGACACTCAGGCTAGCCAGGGAGAATCAGAAGTTTGTTTATGGCCTGCCAAAGCTCTGAATACAGCTGAGAAGTAACTCAACAGCAATGATTTTTCTCTGAAAAGAATATGATCCTCCAAATCACTTGGAGACCAATCCATCTCTTTAAGAATGCACTTCCATCATTAAAACACTTCTTAGCTGCTACCCAGTTTTTCCAGTGAGATTTGGTAGTATCCAGGTAAGATTCTTCACACCTGACAAGCTTTGTCACATAGGCCAAACTGAAGCTCCAAATATCCTAGATAAAATTTGTCAGGTTAAGCAGCACAAAAACCCCACCCACTGATTTCAGCACAGATATTGCAGTCTCACTTGAACTGTAAAAGTCTGAACTAGAACAGCCAAGAGCTGAACTTGACAATTCTTGGGTAAATCACACAGTCAGAAAGCAGCACATAGACATTCTCTCTTGGAGGCCATGGTTCATTTTCCTCTTTGCTTGACTGAGTAGATCTGAATCCTGGTCTAGCACACCTTAAATACTGACTTCAATCTTTCATGTTGAAACAAATCAATCCATGTAAATCAAAATTAACTGGAACTGATACTTGAAAGTAAGTATTATGCATTTGCTGTGAGTGTCTCACTACTGGCAGTCATAGTGCCAATGACATACAAACATAGCCTCACATGCACTGATTGTTAATCTCTTACAGGAGATAAAAACGGCAATTGCATAATACCTATTCACTGATGTGAATGAAATCAAGTCCCAGTAGTGGATCATGCAGGAGAAGGAACAAAGGAAACTCACATTTCCTGTTTTGTCAACATCATATATTGTTTGCTTCACTGTAATTTTTTTCTCATTGGCTTTTCGTTTCACAAGAAAAAAAAATCCGATGGCTTTATAGTCAATATGGACCCAAAGAAATGGCCTCAAGTTGCTCCAGGGAAGGTTTGGATTAGATATTAGGAAAAATCTCTTCACAGAAAGGGTTGTAAAGCACTGGAACAGACTTTCCAAGGAAGTGGTGGAGTTGCCAACCATGGAAGCGTTCAAAACATGTGGCTGTGGCACTTGAGGACATGGTTTAGTGGTGAACACAGTGGTGGTGCTGCGTTAACAACTGGACATCATGGCCTTTTCCAACCATAATGATTCTATGATTATATAATTCTGCGGTTATACCATGGTCAATTTGTGAGAAATTTCAAAAATAAAATAAAGTAACAAAAAGAAATTAAATATTATTATTAATAATAAATAAAATAGCAAAAATTAAAAGACATTGAAATTCCTAAATTGATGGGGTTTGCATTTCTTGAGGACATTCAGCATGCTACTACCAATACTCATTAGATGACAAAAAAAGTCTTCTCCAAAAGTCACAAGAAAGTTGTATCAGGTAATAACAGACCAGGAGGTCAGAAACTCATTGACAAAAAAGCAGGACCAAGAAGAAGCAGTCTTTTCATATTCTCTGTCAATATGACAATAAAACTTCCTTTACTATTTCTTTTTAATGCTTAATTTGTAATCTGTAATTTTTTAGTATTGAAAGTTCTAGTTTCAGGAAATTAAAACCAAAACCTGTAACAGCAACTTTTGTCTGCCAAAAGCTTCAGATGTTAAAGAGAGAGATCCATTTAGTAATGTCAGCTTTTTTTTTTTTTTTTTATGGGAGGTGTTTCACAAGGCAAAACACATTACCACACTGTCTTAATGACATGGGGTTTAGAATGTATTCCATATATGAGTATTTGACAACTCTTTCAAAACTAAAATTATTTCCACAGTGAAAAATGTCCTTCATACACATTCCTGTTAGGTTACTGAATCAGAACTTGCATCTATCTTGTTCCAAATACACATAGACCACATTTCTTTTCTTACAGTCTTCATTAATATCTCCCCTAATTGTAACTGCCAGTTATCTTTATTCTCAGAGATTTCGCATTTCTGGTATTCTATGAATTTTTTTTTCCTTTTTTTTTTTTTTGTGCTTGAAAGCTTGAAATATGTTTTTTCTGTTCCAGATATGAAGAAAGCATCTCGACTCAGAACGCAGTCAATGCTTTTCAGCAGTAATAATTGGGTCAACAAAATATATTATCCTTCTCTATCAACTCTGTATTATGGTTGCACATTACATACACACAGGAATGATATATCAACTTTAAGGTAAATAGGATTTCAGGATTTAAAAACGACTCAATTTTTTACACACAGCACAAAAGCTTTACTATGAGAAATCTTTTACAAGATAGACATATGACAAGCCAGAGATTATAGAGTATTTGTGTGTACTCCTCAATTAGCTCCAAATGCCTTAATGGCTGGTAACTAGCATGGCTCTGAAAAGGATTTTGATTATTTCTTGAAGTGTCAGCTGTCCAAGCACACAGGCAATTTTTACTTAGCATTTTTTTGCTCTATAATAACTCCCACAATATGGAAGCCAGAAATATTTTGTCTTACATTCTATGGTGTGAAACTCTTTCCTTCTGTGTTTACTATTTAGCTTTTGAAAGTGGCTATTATACATCTGTTCACAGAAAAATGTGATTTTTCTGGTTTTGCCTAAAACATCCTTTTGTGTTTTATATCCACCCACAAAAAATGCTGATTAATGCTCAAATTCTTGGCAAACTTGTCCACATCTGACAGTAATGCTGTAGCTATGGATTTTAAGAAGAAATCTCACAATAACTCTTATGAACTTCTGTACTAGTGGTTTGTAAATTCTGCAGACCTAGCCTCTGAATTTTCAGTAAAGAGGCACTAATAAAAATTAACGTATAATATATGATTAAATAACAAAAGCAACCATAGAATGAGTAAAATCTTTTGTTTCATGAAACTTTCAGGATCCTTATATGTTCTAAAAGCTCCTTAGGTGAAAAACAATGCACAGTTAATAAGTGCTGCTTTATTGTTACATAAAACTAATGTACAAGATGGGAGGAAACTAATTGCAGAATCACAGTCAATTTGTCCAGGAGAGAATCTGTTCCTATGAAGCAGCCCATAGTGAGTGGCAAGTGTGCTGAGGCAAAGAAAAATCAGATTCTAGACTGACAATAGAAAAATAAGACTTATGGCTAATCTGCCTGATACATGAAGAAAACAAACTATTTGAGAGAACTTATACAACTTTGCCAATAATGCTATCATTGGTCTTCCTTAAAGAATTTTATTTAAAATAATCCAGTAAACTATAAGACAAACCCAAGTTATGGAAAGTAGCGTTTAAGCCACATAATTTAATTTTTCATCTCGTTTCACACAACTGATTACATAATACCATGTCTTTGATCTGATTATCCAAAAACTGGATTTGATCTCCCAGAAACATTATATCTAACTGTGCATGTACTCATTTAATGTCTGGGTCTAAGGCATTAAAATGAAGTAACAAAACTCTGGAATTGGGTTGATAAGGACAAACAGGAGTTTTTTATAAGGCTTGTAAAGATTTTGTAAGGATTCTTTAGTAAAATAATAGTTTCTCTTAAGACTTACTTTAATGTCTGGTTTTTAAGGCTAATTAAAGAAAAACAGCAACATTTTTGAGCAGCCTCAGTTTTTAACTTCCTTTCCACTTTTTCTTCCAAGATTTCTTTCAACCTTCCTTTTCTTCCAATATCCTCTACAAATAGTCAAGATGAAGCTTGTGCATTTTACAATTTTTGGTTTCTTGTTTTTAATATATTTGCATAATGGCCTATTAGTTTTAATCTTCACTATGGAATGAGTAACAGTCACTAGTATTTCCCAGACTTGCCTAGATAGATTTTTCAATATGGTAATTTTGCTTATGGTTCAAAACACAATTCCACTGTTGCATTTAGTCCCTAGAAATTTTCTAGCAAGAAAAAAAATTCTCTTTAGTCTACTGTATTTCACTTTCTAATAGGGTCATACTACAATGATTTTCTATTGAAAGAGGCTTAGACTAAGTAATTACCTGTGTCTTATCAAAACAAAAAAATAAAAAAGACAGTCGTGCCTGTATTTTCCATTCTGCAATGAAATGCTAAAATACTGATCTTAAAACAAGTGGAAGATTATCGGAGTTAAAGAGATACAGATAATGGCAAGGGACCTAATAGAAACCATTTAACTCAGTCAAACTGTATTTAGAGCCTCTTTAACATATTCTGTAGACATTTAACTTCCCACAAGAAGTTAAATAACAAAAGAAAATATTTGCCTCCTATGGATAACTTAAGAGAAGCAATAAGAAATGTCACTGGAGTGTTACTACACTGCATATTTGAATTTAGCTTTGAAATAACTCCTCATGTAAAAATAAAACCCAAAAT